GGAGTGGCTCAGCCTACATCGACGAGCCCCGATGTCGCTTCTTCAACATCAAGAAAAACGGAGAAAGGAAGAAACTTTGCCAGCACAAGCTCAGAAGGCAAGGACAAGTTTCAACCTACCTAGGATTTCTGTATCTAGGTCAATGATGATATCAATTGACAAAATAGTTGTATAACTGTGATTGGTAGACGAAAGGACAATTTGGATGGGTTTGAAATTAAAGATTCCTTATGAACAAGAAGTTTACCTGACAAAAATATCACAGTAATTTATCACTATCACCCTTTAAGTATGGTTCGAACCGAGCAGCACTGTGTAACATGACCGTTCCTTTAGAGATTCGTTGCGAAGCATGTTTTTTCGAACAAATTTTGCCTTTCCAATACATTTAACCTCCTGTTTTTCCATTATCAATAACCTTTTTCGCCATAAGGCTATCCGCCAAATTTGTTGATGGACAGTTTTGAAGGACGTGCATGTGACATGAGCGCGTGGTCCTGCATGCGTTGCTGCACCAACACTGCGATGAAGTGTTGCTTATTCTAGAAATCCGCAGAGTTTCATTGTTGAAAGAAGGATCCTAAACACCAATGTGAACTGGCCGATCCCTACTCAAAGCTGTGATATAATGCATTTGGGGGGCCATCTTTCTTTCACTGTTTGCCACACAGGATCCTGAATGCTTGGGGAAAGGGCGGATCCAGAATTTATTTTCCGAGACGCAAAAAAATTGGAATATCCCTTCTTCAACTTTGAATGTCCTTTCTAAAGTAAATGAAAGCGCGTCCCATCATCTTTTCCTCATTATTTATGTAATGAAACAAATATCAAAAAGGAAACCAAGAACGTTTTGTTACGAACTTTGAAGTGTTTCAGTACTGTAATATCTTTTGCAAGATTTTCTAATTTTGTGATGAAGAAAAATGACGATTTTACAGTTTCTTCACTAATTCTTGAATTACATGATATCATGAACTTTATCTCCTTCAGTATTAGAATATTCAACATAGTTATTGCTTTCTGACGCGAATTAAATAGAACCACACTGGATACACTTAGGTCTGTCGACAACCGTTGCTGTTCAAATTAATGTTTCACATTTTGCTCTTCAATGGGGCGATTTTCCAAATTCAGTGATGCAAGAAAAAACACTCACCTATCAACTGCAGCTAAGTTTGTTGATTTCTCGTTTTAGCGATATTTGTTGGTCGATTTAAATTTCGTAAAACTACAACTGGTTTAGCGATGTAAATTAGACTAAAACGGGCAGCGCGGAATCCATCCTATACATTATCAACGATATCGTGCAGCGTATCGCACTGAAGTTGTAAGCTTTGAGTTTCTGTTGATTGTTTCTGAAGATTGGAAAAGTAGAGGATGATAGGGAAAAGTAGAGGGTGGTACTTAACCGTGGCAGCACCACTCAATGGATGGGACTTAAACTCAGTACCTCGCTGTGAGGACGTGCAGAGACGTATAGAAAGAGCTGGCTTCATCTGTGTACCGGCGGACACCTTCTTATTTGCCAATTTTAACAAATATCGATTTAATCAATTGCTGAAATTGGAGAGTAGGAATGGGCCTATAGCATAATCAGCGCTATTCACTGGGTTTTCAAAACTTTTTTTTTCTAGAATTTTGTACCTCTGGTTTTCCCACCGTAGACTTGCGTTTCTAGTTGGTATTGCGGTTATACTCAAGTGTCCTTTGAGGAACCATAGCGTCTGAACTAGCGTATGCAAACGAATACACGATAAAATTGGTAACAGGGAAATTAAGTTTGGATAAATTACTAGGTTTTTTAGATATTGATAACTATGTTGAACAATACGTAACCATTGTATACCCTCACTGAGTATTTATTGGAATGAACTAGACGATATGTAATATGTGAGAGACTATTCAACAAAGAGGAAAGTTTGTAAGATGAATACACAATACGATTCTGAAGCTAGTTTGCAAGAAGACACGTTGATCGCAATGGTTTACGGGGCCGGGGGTTACTTGTAACTTTAAAAGGTTATGTACGGTATGAACCATTAGTGAATAATTGGATTGTTCATTTGAAAAACCACAGAGAGAAAAACAGGAAGGGAATAGATAAGCGGGCAGCACTGCAATGCCTGTCGGTGATAAGCCCAATGTTGTCAAAACAAAATTGAGTGATGATGAGGGTATCGAGAATGGCAGTGTACCCCAAATGAATATCTCGACAGAGGGCGTTAACTTCGAATAGTATAATTCTGTCATCCTGGAGATTAAATGCGTATAACGAAAGGGAACTGGGAAAGGACTAGGTACTTGTCTAATTTTGCCATCCATTGCTTCTAGTCATGGACATGACGTTTGTCGCATCACAAGGGTGATGTGAAAATCAACAATTAAAATTTGAATGATCCACCTACAACGGTTCTTTTAGCTTAATGGTGTGGGATTATATATTGATAAACACCAAATGGGATTGAAAGCTGAAGCTTGCCTTAATTTGAAAAATGCCCACTTCACATGTGTTGACACTACCAAGCGTCATACCAGCTTAATCCTTGCGGTAAAAATTAGGAGGAAAATGTCAAATGGATGGCCAAGTATTTGACGTAAGTATTGAAGTTTTTCCACAGTTATTTTCTTTTACTACACATCATAAATAGTCATGAGCAAATTGTAGCGCGTGATTGGCCGATTTTGCCGCGCGTCCGCGGAGCTGATACACGCCCAAGTTACGTCATCCTGGTGACGTCACTTGGGCGTGTATCAGCTCCATATATCATGCCAGCTGGCTGCCGTCAGTAGAGTTTTTCGGGAAGCACCAAAACTTCTTTCTGAAACTAGCCTCGTAATCACGTAGTATGTGGCATGCAATTTTAAGGGAACCCTGTCTGTTGCAGTTCTTCCCTGACACGCGGAACTGCAACCCCAAAACAAACTGTACGTTGACCTCAAATTTGTTATTTTGTCAATTTAGTCAAGCATAATTTTATGGGTGGAGCAAACAGACACAGCAGTTGATTTTTCGAAGTAGTGGGAATTACTGGTCCCTAGGTTTAGGTCAGCTAGACTACCTACTGTTTCGCGTCGGGAGGTAGTTGAGCTGACCTACATCTCGGGACCAGTAATTCTGACTACTCCCCCGGAAACCATACCGTAATAGCATTTGCCACAAGGTGTGGACGTGAAAAGAGCAGCTTCGATTAATTTCATGCTTGATTAGACCAGTGTGTGTAATGTGATGTAAGAGGTATTTCCACTTACAGCGTTACCTTTCACGACATAATTATCATGCGCATACGTTTGTTGTAGACCGTTCTCACTATCGGCTGAAGGAAATCCACAGCCGTGTCTTCTCTTTTTCAGAGATACAAAGAATGATGAAATTGAGTACATTAAATACATGTACCTTGAAAAATGCCGAAAATGGGTTGATATCTCTCGCTTTAAGTGGTAACCAGGTGTTAACCCCAGCCGATACAGTAGTTGGTCATTTCATTTCAATTTAAAAGCGCGTCTTGCTGCTGCTGCGGTTTGTTTTAACTGTTATGCTTGATCTCAAGTGTCTAACACAACAGTGTTCAGGGCCAGCAGCAGACTTGCTTCCTTCACCCTATCCTTTTTATGACAGAATTCTTCGACAAAAAAGTGCTATTTTGAGATTGAAAGTACACATGCAACTTCAATATCCATTCAAAAAAGGACTTCTATGAGGTCTCAAAACCCGTCATCTCTATCACCACCCCCAGCTGTTGGTAATTCCTTCAAATGTTGTTTAGTCATTTTGGTGCAATTGTTTTATCATCACCCAAGACTTATCTAGGAAGTACGGACGGGACCCCTAGGAAATTTTAATTTAAAGGCAAACACACGCCTTTTTATCCAGGTATTCGTTCCTCCTTTGACATATTTCTCTTATGGTTGTTCCCTATTTACAATGATACCGCTGAAATTCCGGAATGACGAACCGAATCACTTCAAAACCAAAGTTCAACGACACTAAGCATCGGTATTAATCGTTTTCAGTTCAGATCGGGACTGAGGGTGAGAAAATAAACAGGGTAAAGCCACAAATATTTGCTTTCCTTTCAAAAAGGAAAGGTAGAATGAAAATTAAATTTAAACAGGAAGTCGTCAAATCTGACATTCGTTTATATTCAGCCCATGCAGTACCACACTACATTCATTTTCGCAATTAGTCAACCAAAGTACCCGAAGGCATTTCCTATTTTTTTTTCATATGTTTGTGAACTGAAGATATTGGGGTTTGTCACTGTTGCGTCATACATGTTAAATAATTGTTATCGCTATTATTTGGACTTGTACTTGACAGTTCATCTTTATCAGTGTAACACTACCACTAGAGCAGCTGATAGATTGAAGATGGTTTCAAAGCATCTGATCAATTGTTTTAAATTAGTCTGGGTTTGTTCAATTTTTTTCCAATTCTTTTTGGTTGTTGTACATATCTTGCATAAAGAGAAACTTTACTCAAAGCTCATATGCTCGCATATTGTTTCAAAATGATAGAAATTCAGTGATTGAAGAATCTCGTTTATGTAATAAAATTAATTTTTAATCTCATATCCAAAGAGTCTTGTCGTCACGGCCATTTATGATTCTCACCATAATGGTCGACCCTTCCAGTTGTGTGGATGCACTATGATACAAATATGTTCCAGCATTCTACCTCGGGTTTCACCACGTTGGATCGTTACTTTGTTTTCTAATGGAAAACACTTTCCAGTCTCGAATAAGCAATTGATGTTGTAGTCAAATAATATTGAATTTCAAGTAGTGTCTCTTTTAAAGTTGTGACAGCGTTGTAACAACTTCGTAGTATTTAGAACAACTTGATCAACGACAACGCGAAATCGCGCCGTCGGGTCAGCTGTGCAAGGCTCGTATACAGGTGGACGGTTACCCAAAGATCCAGGCAGGCGGTCTTGGCTCGAAATACAAAACATATATTGGAAACAAAATTTAAGCAATGTTGAATCACCCTTTAATAACACACTTATGCTGCATTGGCTTGTGCTTCTTCCTACCATCATCGCTTCTTTTGAATTTTTAAAGAGGCGCCGATACAGAATATCCATGGCAACGGCTGGTTTGTCTCGTACCATCTCCTTTCAACCTTCCAATCAACCTGCCAAAACGCTACGTAATCACGGCATCGGGACTTTTGTCTGTTGTTATTATCTGTTATTAGCAACCCGTCTTTCTTACCTAGGCCTATAGTCACTTCCAGTTTTCAGTTGGCGTCATTGGGCGATTTGGACCTTCACATTGCGACTGAGACACTCCAGTGTAGCTGACACATCATTCTAATTCTGTTCAAATTTTTTATCATCACCATGTACTTGCTCAAAGTAGTGGGCGTTGTAGCCATCACTGCAGCCATCAATGCTGCTTGGGGGTCAGACGTCTGTTCCTCTGTGCCCGCGCTGAACTGTTCCTGCCCGTTAGGGTGGCGACTGTGGCGGAAAGCATGTTATCGCGTCACTGAATCAGAGCCTAACTGGGAGTGCAGCAAGTCAGCTTGCCGAGAGATGGGAGGCAAGATGGCTGCTCCTCGCTCCCTCAAGGAAATGAAGTTTATGGGGAATTTGGCACGGCAGAAGGACAGCGACTACTACGTCTGGATTGCTTGTAATGACATCGGGTTCGAAGGAAACTGGACGTGTGACGTCCAGGAAGATAGCGAACCGTTCATGGGATGGTATCCTGGCCAACCGGATGACACCGATCATAACCAAGACTGCGCGGTAATTGCTGCACGACATAATGACAGTATGGATGACAGTCGCTGTAGTGAATCTCATAATGCCCTTTGTGTTAGTCAGGCTGCCTGCACTCCTCGCCCAAGTCAACCCCTTCGCTACTGCTTCTCTAGCGACGATCAAGGTCACATTGTCAACTCAGCCTGCCTCCTCGACCACGTTATCCGTGAGTTTACTACAAAGAGCCTCACCGCCTGTGGCTCAGCCTGTGTCAACGAGGCCGGATGTCGGTCCTTCAATATCAAGAAAAACGGAAAAGGGAAGAAACTTTGCCAGCTGAACAACAGCACAAGCTCCGAAGACAAGGACAACTTCAAAACCATCGGGGATTTCTGTATGTACTCAGAAATTTGCATTCGCTAGAATTTGACACTCTTGAAAAAGCAGTCTACAATGCTGAACTTGAAGTGACAGAAAACAATTTTGATTTGGCTGTTTATCATAAATTTTGTTGACTCCTGGTTGGAAATTTGGCAATGCTATAACGAACACTGCGTTGCAATTCAGTGTTAAAGGAAAAGAGAGACTGCAGGGAAATAATGAGATAGATAAGAAATAATTGGGTTCTCGTTTGGAGCAGAGACGGCTGAGGTTGAAAGGGAAATAAATGATATTATTTAACCAATGTAGATATTTCTTCATCTGTCCATCACATCTGAAATCAAATGTCTGAACATTTCTGTCGTCATTTCCATTCCATCTAATTGTTTGATGGTGTGAAAAAAGTGCCTAATTTTAAGATATATTTCTCTGAAGCCGTCTGTTAACAACTTTTCATTCTATTTCTGGTGACGGAAGAATTTTGAAGCTTTTTCGATTTTTTTGTAAAGATAGCTCAGAGTTACGGACTGAATGTCAATACGGGCACATCTCGTTTGGTCGGTGTTAACCTTATCAGCCCCAAGACCGTTTGGTCATTCATGGGTTCCTTACCACATTTTTTCCCATGCAAGTTCCTTTGCTTACCAGGCAAAATTCAACAGTTTTTAGTGTATAGCGCCGTCACCAGTCGAGATCATGAAAGGCAGCTCGTGCAATGACACCTCATTGACTAATACTAATGATATCCAATAAGCAGAATATTACTTAAGTTTGTTTGGTAAAAATCACAGGAAAGATTCAATACACAATGAATCAAGATTCAAGAAAACCTTTATTCCGGACTCTTAAAAAAAATTAAGGGAGCTTGATACATAGAAATTGACAAAATGGATAAGCGACAATACATCAGAAATCTAAGAAAGTAAGTACATTGAAAATAGCAATGTGGATATAAATAACCTTTTACACATACTTGTACTTAATTAAGAGAGATTAGAGCTTATAAGATAAATAAAAGCAGTCCATATACAAATGAGAACAGAAAATAGCATGAGGCTGTTAAATGAGCATAGGCTTGTATAAACAGAACACAAAGTTAAATTTGTACAAATTTGTTCCATTTTAAAAAATTTCTTGTGGAAGTCGTATATTTCTTGTTGAAAGAGAAACATGGGGAAACATGAATTTTGCTTATTATATCCAATCTCATGAACATGCGAATACATGCGTTGGCGCATTGTTTTAAATGATGTCGAAAAGGACCACGTAACATTATCTTACAAACGTCGAAATGTTTTCGGCTTAGTAAATATCTTTTCCTAGATTTCTAATTTAGTGACAAGAAAGAATCAGTTTACAGTTTCTTCAATAATTCTGGAATTACTAGTTATGAATTTATCTGCTCAAGTACTTGAGTACACAGTAGTATTCTTGCTTTCTGACACGAATAGAACCACGCTGGATACACGTAGGTCTGTCGACAACCGTTGTTCAGATTAAATGGTTCATTATTTACTCTTCACTTGGGTGATTTACAAAATTCCGTGGTGCGACAAAAATGCTTAACGTCATCGACCGATTTCGCGGAGCGTCCAGGAAGTGGAAATGATACTTGATATTTGCTTCATTCTTTTTTGGTACTCATTTGAGAATAAGAAATTCCCTTTAATAACTTAAAGGCATGGACAACTTAAGCTTTCCCTGTTACTACTTTTCTGTTAGAATCCAAACATTAATGGCATTGCCAAACGAAGTGGACGTTCAAAGCACCGCTACCGTCTGAACTTATTTCCATGTGTCAACATACCTGCTTCTGCATCATGATGCAGCAGGTATATTAATTTTCAGAATTACCTTCAAAAGTAATTTGTACTCTTCGTAACATTTGTTACTCTTCTGTGGTAGACTCGCCATTAGAATCTTTCGACTGACGGAGCGAAATCTAGTGCTGCGCCTAAAATTTTGCAGAAATCAAAAGGTCAATAAAAATCAGTAATAAATAAAAACCTGAATTTTACCTCGAAAAACACTGAAAATCAATGCTTGGTTCGAATCCTGGATGGGACAATGTGGTCTTCTTCCTGTTTGGTCTCTTTTCAGCCTTGTGGTGCTTTATGTTGAAAACTCATATGTGGCAATCACCAAGCACTAAGTTAATCAAAACAAGCTAGCTTTTATCACCTGCTCACCTTTGCCGTCAGAATTCTCCGGAAGGAAAACTGTATCGTTTTGAAATAAACAAGAACATTTGAAATTTCCACGTGGGTTTGAATCTTAGCTAATTTAAACATTTTTCTTTGGTGTATCGACTCTTTCACTGCCGCCACGTTCGTCAATCCTTGACTTAACGTTTAGTTATTACCGTATCTTGGCAATGAAAGCTGTCGAAATGAAAGGTAGTCAGTTGATTTGATGCTTGTAACGAAAGGGGGTGGTTATGAAGAGAGGACTCGTTACTTGTCTAATATCACCATAAGTGCAGTTTCCAGACAAACGCATCTCGAGGGTTGTGTGAATATAACCCATTTAAATTTTAATGACCCACATACAAATTAACATCGGCCCTTTAATAATGCAATGCAACCATACAAAACAGCTGCTTCATGAAAGCCTAAAAGCTGCAGACCTTGCTCTATGGTGGGAAGAAACGATTTGAAAGATATCCAGTCCACCTGTGTCTCAGCGATCTTCAAAGCTGCATCTGTTGAAGTTTTGTAGTAGGGCCTACTCACTAAATTCTCCTGAAATGGGTGAAGGACATGGCCTAGTATTAAGAGTTATATCCACTTTTCTTTCCTTTTTTTTCTTTTTATATAACAACACATGTTAATCATTTTACAATTATACATACACATACAAGCATAAGGTCAACAAAATCAGATCCACAGCCACATCTTAACTTGTGCAGAGATCGAAACACGATGAAAGTAAAAGCCTAATGGTACCTTAACAAGACGTGGAAAATCGATGGAAATCTCTAGCTATAAGGGGAAGCCGAGTTAAAATTCCGGGGGATGCATGCAGTAGTCAGCTATGCATGTATTTTGAATTTAACTTTCTGTCGTTGAAAGCACGTCTTCTTTTCTGATATTTTCTGTTTAAATCTGTCAAACTGATTCTAAAGTGTCTAATATGTCTGACCCATAGTAAAACAAAAAATTGCTAATATCACCTTTTCCTTTTTTGATAGAAACCTTGTGGAAAATTGTGTTATTTGGAAATCAATTATTACAGTACTCTTTCGTTTTATTATCCGGATAAAATGGGGTATGGAAGTGTTTGCGTGTGTTTTGTGAGACGCTGTGTCGTTTTGTTATCGTGCTGAAAGAATCCCCGTGTTCCTGCTCAAAGCCGTCGGAATAGTAGCTTTTATTTCGTGCTATCCGAGCGGAACAACAGAGGGCGTGGTTGTTTTTGTTTTGTTTTTGGTACTCACCACATAGGCGTGCCACGAGGCGCGCAAGTATGCCATATGTGGTCTTTGCGTACACGCGATGCGTGCAATAATCCGCTTGTAACCACCTGTCCTTCTTTCGCCGATTGGGGGTGTGCACTATCAAGGCGGATATCATCATGAGGTCCATTTTAATTTGAAAAGGAGGAGCATGTATTCAATTGCCTCTAAAATAACAAACTGACAGGTAGTTTCTAATGAAGGTTTGGTGCTTTAGCTAACTAACGCACCCCATTTATATCTTTTCTTTTTGACAGAACCACTGCAACATCATAATTTAGCAGGGTAACTACGTTTAAAAATTGAAAAATTCGGGGGGGGGGAAGGATTACGTGGACTACCCTGTCTTTTAAGGTGGGGCCCCTGTATAATGGTGGACTTCTGTTGAACTTTAACTAAAGAACGGGATAATTACTACCGGCATGATTTAATTGCGATTTGGACGAAGAACAGAAAGTTACAGCTTAAAAACATTTACATGCATCAGTTCACTATGCGAATGGGCACTTCATCGTTGTATTGTGGTCCGTCTAGTTTTCCCAGAATTTGTCTTCAAGCAGTTGTAAAACAATCTTTGTGAAGGGGGCTCTTAAAGATATTAAACGACAGAGGGCGCCTCATCAATACCCAGTAAGTGCTTATTCACACCACCATTATCTCCGGAGCGCACTATAATAATCTCCTGAATCTTTATTTTTTTCAAACACATCCAGTTTCCACCATTGCCTAGGTGTCCCTCTTATTCCTCACCTGAAAACTTAAAATGAGGAGGCAGGGAAGGTAACATGAAATCGTTGTTCAAACGAACCAATAAGACATCAGATGACTTAATTTTTGCAAAGAAAAATAAAACAGAAGAGGGTCACAAAGCACATAAACAATCATTGTAAGAAGTCCCTGCCATCGATACGCAAATACATGCCAGAAAGGAGACGCTGCGAAGGTTGGCTGTGCACACTTGATTAATGTTAATGGAAGATGATATAATTACTTCGCGGATCGCACAGCACGTACGTACGCACGCACGTACACTGTCATTATTATAACGTGACTTCCCATGGATGCTCATTGGCCTTAAGTGTAAGGTTTACAGACTATTATAACTATCTCATTTGCGAATCGTGAGCTGCCCAGACTGAAAAAAAAAAGGAGAGGAGAGAGCAGACTTCCATCTAGCACATTTTAGCCGTTGCCGGTAACAACAAGCGCATCAATTTATAATTACTTTGGCAATCAGCTATACCGGAAAACATTGCATTGCGGGGCTTTTATCTGTTGGTTAAGTAAACTTGAATACTAACCACGCAGCCGTATTGAACTGCCACACTGAACCTGTTCTTCTTAGCCCGGTGGGAGTTTGGTTTCTTTTAACAAATAAATCTTGACATTCTTAAACTCACACGGCACATTTTTCAAACATAAAGTTTTTGTTAGGGCTCGTATTCCTCCATTCTGGAGACTCTTTGGTTAAACTACCTGATCGAGCATCATGAATATCAACATTTGGACTCATGGCATACCGGCTAGCGGCTTCGTATTCCTGGCGATGTTGGGAACAGTTACCTGCCTCTCTCGGCTCGCTTTGAACTGTTCCTGCCCGTCAGGGTGGCAACTGTGGGGGAACGCGTGCTATCACCTCACTGAATCACGGCAAACATGGGATGAGGCCTGCTCTGTATGCCATACGATAGGAGGCCAAATGTCTGCTCCTCGATCAATCGGGGAAATCAAGTTTATGGGGGATTTGGCACAACACGACGACAGCAACTACTACGTCTGGATTGCGTGTAATGACATTGAAGTCGAAGGAGACTGGACGTGTGACGGCCAGGAAGGGAGCAAGCCGTTCTTGAAATGGCAACCTGAGCAACCGGATAATTATGGAGCGAATCAAGACTGTGCTGCAATGTCTCCTGGTTATGACGGCGGTATGGACGACGGCGACTGTGGCTATCCCAACAAGGCTTTTTGTGTTCGTCAAGCTGCCTGCACTCCTCCCCCAACCCAAACCCGCCACTTCTGCCTCTTTACCGACACCCACGGCCGCATTCTCAACTCAACATGCCTCCTCGACCACGTCATCCGGGAATTTACCACCGAGAGCGTCACCGCTTGTGGCTCGGCCTGCGTCGAGGAGACCGAATGTCGCTCCCTCAATATCAAGAAAGGCGGGGCGGGGAAGAAAATATGCCAGCTGAACAACAGCACACGCTCCGAAGCCAACGACGACTTTCAAAATACCGCTTATTTTTGTCTGTATTCAGACGTGTGCTTCGGCTAATTATGGCTGCAAATGAATAGCCTTGAAAAGATCGGTTTACCAACTTGAATATGAACTTACCGGCTTGAACAAACTTTATTTTGTCAGACAACAGAAAAACATTCTCAAGACATTTGTTTTAGCTCGCGTTGTACAAAATTTGTTTGTAACAATCTGAAGAAAGCAGAGCGTCGGAAATCTCCTCTGAACACGAACAAGGTAATCAAATTGTTTTTGCCATTATACGTAGACAATGAAAACACAATCATTTTATAGCTATATATAGCGTCTGCTATTTCTACATCACAATTTTAGAATCACGGTTTTACAGTTGAGTGCTTTCGAGTAAGTTCCAGATGTCGACTTTCGTTTAACTTAGTTTAATTTCGTCTCTTTTCAGTCTCGTTTGTTTGACATAGGCCTACCTATTAAAACGCACACGACCACCAGGTCGGGGTTGCCTCGTAGAACTATCTCAAATCACTCTGTATGGCAGTGGCCAGCCGTTAGTACAACACGTTTGCTGTCTGTCGTTGTGAATTGTGTGAAATTTGCCCAAAACCTGTCCTCTTGCCGCGCACGAGACGAAAAGCCGAAGAATTATTCAGTATAAGCGTAAAAAAGACAACACCAAATTCGCCTTGAGCACAAGAACTCCCTCATCTGTTGAAAAAGTCATGTTGGTGGGGAGTGCTTATCTTGTTGCCGCAACGTATGCATCTTATAGTTTTTCGTGAACCAGCAAAGTGCAGTTTTC